TTAGCCCTGGCTGCTGCAGACGGGCTAACGTTAGCCCTGGCTGCTGCAGACGGGCTAACGTTAGCCCTGGCTACTGCAGACGGGCTAACGTTAGCTTTTGCTGCTGTTAGCCTTGGAGGACTGCTGTCCTCTCAACAAGGGAACATTTATTTTCTTCTTTTTTTAGGGCACTAGTGGCTCCTTTTACTGAAAGTAGGCCGACAGGAAGGGGGTATGAGAGAGGGGGAGAGACATGCAGCAAAGGACCACAGGTTAGATTCGAACCCGGGTCGGCCACATTGAGGACTAAGGTCTCTGTAAATGGGTCGTGCGCGCTAACCACTGCCCCACCTGCACGCCCCTGAACTTTTTTATTTATTTTTCTTAAATAAAATCAGTAAATGGACCATATAGTGATGCATAAAGTATAATGTTCTCACCTCAAATGATCTAAAAACGCGCTTTAATAGAACGATAACAGAAAAGAGAACTTTTAAATGAATACTCTGAGCTCTGTGAGCGCTAACCTGGAAGCTGCTGCTGCCGCAGTGCATGCTGGGACAGCTGACAATTTCAAGAACGGACAAGTCTGCTCTGATGCATGCTGGGTAAAGTGGGAGGGGCCAGAACAACATCCGGGGACTTTGAGGAGGATGATGTTTCACGAGCAAACAAGCACATGAGAACGCACAACTACACCTATCGAGAAACGGCCATCAACTCTGTCCAACATGGAGGGGTCAGAGTTAAGTTAGCCATGAACCCCCCCTCCATACCAACGTGTTTAAGAGTCAACTGATTGGAATGGTTTGGTAGGACTTCAGAAAGCTGCGCAGGAACCGGAAAAAAACTAACTAGAATGGACCCATTTCCTTTGCCGCAAACGCAAACAAGAGTTTGCTAAAATTACAGTTATTGCAGATAAAGATGGCCACAAGAACTTGACACGAGGCAAGATTAAAATATAATGATTATGATATTTGAGCAACAATCTGATCATTTTATTTTTATTGCTCTTGGGTCGGTGTTCCGTAACTTTTTAAAGTGTTCTTATTCTAAAACATCAGAATTAAATGACTGAATGGAGTCAGATTCTCTACAGTTCTGACGAGGTAACTGTTTGCCAACGCAGGGATATTTTAGCGCCATCGTGTGGTAGTAATCATCATTAAACTGTTGCTTACAGGTCTGATGCTGCCAGCTCCGCCCTCTGGATATTTAGGAGGCTGAGAGGATCCTTGAACTGGACCTAAAGGAAGAAAAGAGAACTCTGATTATTTATCTCTCATTGGTCTGAGCTCAGTGTTTGAAGCAGCGCGTCGTACTGTGATACGGGCTCTTGTGAGGCGCCGGAGGAGGCCGGTGGTGTCCGTTGTGGTAGGAGGGCGGCCGGCCGACCGGAGAGGTCGCGGCGCTGCAGGGAGCGGATCCAGAGGAGGGTGTGGTGGGCGTCTGAAGCGGGCTGCTGTGGAGCGGCGCCAACTGAAAGGGACTGCAGGGGGAGCGATCGCAAAGAGGCGCGGTGGAGGGAGAAGCCTTAAAGAGCAGAGGAAAGCATAAAGGGTGGAAACTGTTCAAACAAACAAAGCTGCAATGCTAGTTTTGCATCACCGACATACTTGTGTGCTGCCTTCTTTCTGTCCGTCTCCGTTTTCGTTAACGCCGGTGAGATCTTCCACCAGAACGGCAGGAAACACTCCGACGACGCCGTTAAACTCTCCCTCCCAGAAACCATCATCCTCGTGAGTCTCTCTGCTCAGGATACGGATGATCGCGCCTTCAGGAAACGAAAGCTCTTCGTCCGTCTGTCCTGCGTAGTCGTACAGAGCCTTGGCAAATGACACTGAAATAGAGGAGGAAGATTTTAACAAGTAACCTGATTTTTATTGTAGTTGTAGGTGCACAGCGTTGGCCTTTATCTAATGCAGGTGACCCTCACCTCCAGAGTCTCCGTTGACAGAGCTGGCTGAGAGCTCGGTCTCAGGTTCGGTGGAGTTGCTGGAGGAATGGGAGCGGGCGTCCAGCGAGGCCAGAGACTGCAGCATGCTCAGCAGGCTGTTGGAGGACGGAAGCTGCAGGTATTTCTCCGGGACGTAACCAACCTGTCCACTGCGGTTCCTGGCCTGAACAAATCCATAAATAGACAGATATCCAGATATGCCTCAATGTGTTTATGCATCTATAACATATGTTAGTACACTGAACAGATAAACTGCAGTTCCTCCTTTTTAAAGTGGAATCATTTTATGTGAAAAAACTAGGCTTAACCTGAAGGAAACATCCAGAAGTCTGTCATCTCAAGGAACTTTACAGTTCAACCAGATCATCCAGTAAGATTGATTCATAGTTTTCTATCTAAGGAAAACCAGCTGATCGCATCGACTCATT